AGAGCAGGTGAGTGGTGCAGCAGAGCAGGTGAGTGGTGCAGCAGAGCAGGTGAGTGGTGCAGCAGAGCAGGTGAGTGGTGCAGCAGAGCAGGTGAGTGGTGCGGCAGAGCAGGTGAGTGGTGCAGCAGAGCAGGTGAGTGGTGCGGCAGAGCAGGTGAGTGGTGCGGCAGAGCAGGTGAGTGGTGCGGCAGAGCAGGTGAGTGGTGCGGCAGAGCAGGTGAGTGGTGCGGCAGAGCAGGTGAGTGGTGCGGCAGAGCAGGTGAGTGGTGCGGCAGAGCAGGTGAGTGGTGCGGCAGAGCAGGTGAGTGGTGCGGCAGAGCAGGTGAGTGGTGCGGCAGAGCAGGTGAGTGGTGCGGCAGAGCAGGTGAGTGGTGCGGCAGAGCAGGTGAGTGGTGCGGCAGAGCAGGTGAGTGGTGCGGCAGAGCAGGTGAGTGGTGCAGGCAGAGCAGGTGAGTGGTGCGGCAGAGCAGGTGAGTGGTGCGGCAGAGCAGGTGAGTGGTGCAGCAGAGCAGGTGAGTGGTGCGGCAGAGCAGGTGAGTGGTGCAGCAGAGCAGGTGAGTGGTGCGGCAGAGCAGGTGAGTGGTGCGGCAGAGCAGGTGAGTGGTGCAGCAGAGCAGGTGAGTGGTGCGGCAGAGCTGGTGAGTGGTGCGGCAGAGCAGGTGAGTGGTGCGGCAGAGCAGGTGGGTGGTGTGGCAGAGCAGGTGAGTGGTGCAGCAGAGCAGGTCAGTGGTGCAGCAGAGCAGGTGAGTGGTGCGGCAGAGCAGGTGAGTGGTGCAGCAGAGCAGGTGAGTGGTGCGGCAGAGCAGGTGAGTGGTGCGGCAGAGCAGGTGAGTGGTGCGGCAGAGCAGGTGAGTGGTGCGGCAGAGCAGGTGAGTGGTGCGGCAGAGCAGGTGAGTGGTGCAGCAGAGCAGGTGAGTGGTGCGGCAGAGCAGGTGAGTGGTGCGGCAGAGCAGGTGAGTGGTGCAGCAGAGCAGGTGAGTGGTGCGGCAGAGCAGGTGAGTGGTGCGGCAGAGCAGGTGAGTGGTGCGGCAGAGCAGGTGGGTGGTGCGGCAGAGCAGGTGAGTGGTGCAGCAGAGCAGGTCAGTGGTGCAGCAGAGCGGGTGAGTGGTGCGGCAGAGCAGGTGAGTGGTGCAGCAGAGCAGGTGAGTGGTGCGGCAGAGCAGGTGAGTGGTGCAGCAGAGCAGGTGAGTGGTGCAGCAGAGCAGGTGAGTGGTGCGGCAGAGCAGGTGAGTGGTGCAGCAGAGCAGGTGAGTGGTGCAGCAGAGCAGGTGAGTGGTGCGGCAGAGCAGGTGAGTGGTGCGGCAGAGCAGGTGAGTGGTGCGGCAGAGCAGGTGAGTGGTGCGGCAGAGCAGGTGAGTGGTGCGGCAGAGCAGGTGAGTGGTGCGGCAGAGCAGGTGAGTGGTGCGGCAGAGCAGGTGAGTGGTGCGGCAGAGCAGGTGAGTGGTGCGGCAGAGCGGGTGAGTGGTGCGGCAGAGCGGGTGAGTGGTGCGGCAGAGCGGGTGAGTGGTGCGGCAGAGCGGGTGAGTGGTGCGGCAGAGCGGGTGAGTGGTGCGGCAGAGCGGGTGAGTGGTGCGGCAGAGCGGGTGAGTGGTGCGGCAGAGCGGGTGAGTGGCGCGGCAGAGCGGGTGAGTGGCGCGGCAGAGCGGGTGAGTGGTGCGGCAGAGCGGGTGAGTGGTGCGGCAGAGCGGGTGAGTGGTGCGGCAGAGCGGGTGAGTGGTGCGGCAGAGCGGGTGAGTGGTGCGGCAGAGCGGGTGAGTGGTGCAGCAGAGCGGGTGAGTGGTGCAGCAGAGCAGGTGAGTGGTGCGGCAGAGCAGGTGAGTGGTGCAGCAGAGCGGGTGAGTGGTGCAGCAGAGCGGGTGAGTGGTGCGGCAGAGCGGGTGAGTGGTGCGGCAGAGCGGGTGAGTGGTGCGGCAGAGCAGGTGAGTGGTGCGGCAGAGCAGGTGAGTGGTGCGGCAGAGCAGGTGAGTGGTGCAGCAGAGCAGGTGAGTGGTGCAGCAGAGCAGGTGAGTGGTGCAGCAGAGCAGGTGAGTGGTGCGGCAGAGCAGGTGAGTGATGCGGCAGAGCAGGTGAGTGGTGCAGCAGAGCAGGTGAGTGGTGCAGCAGAGCAGGTGAGTGGTGCAGCAGAGCAGGTGAGTGGTGCGGCAGAGCAGGTGAGTGGTGCAGCAGAGCAGGTGAGTGGTGCGGCAGAGCAGGTGAGTGGTGCAGCAGAGCAGGTGAGTGGTGCGGCAGAGCAGGTGAGTGGTGCAGCAGAGCAGGTGAGTGGTGCAGCAGAGCAGGGCACGGGGTGTGTGGGTGCTGGACTCGCTGCTGATAGCCTGGTGCTGGTGGTGGGGCGTGACGCCAGTAGCCCTGCTGTAGAGCACATGGGTGAGGTGACAGGGCATGGGGCGTGCCAGTGTGATGGTCGAGGTGTGCCAGTAAAGAAAAATCTCCTACACCAACGAAGCAACACAACGAAGGTGTAGACGACAAGCACGTCCGGAAAAAACCAGTCAAGATGGTTAAGGCTTACAACAAGAAGGGATGCGACGACGAGTATGATATGAAAGAAGAATGCCCCAGAGCAGTAAGAAAACACCTTTAGATAAGATTTGAATGGAAACGGAGCCTTGAGGTGGATAAAACAAACCAGGCGGGTATTGATCCCCGCTAATCATCTATGCTTGGAGGTTTGTGCTACTGGTCTGGAGAAGAATTTGTATAAGTTGTTATATATTTTGTTGTCAACATCAGCCCCTGACCGTTTCCCTCGTTTGATCGGTAGCCACGGCCATACAATCGCACATGGGTCGCGGAAAGCGCGAGGCGGAGGGCAATCGGAGCGGTAATGGAGGTCGGGGGAAATCGAAGCGGCACAAGTCGCGATACCTGAACGCTGTGAGCCTTTAAACTTATGTCGCGACGCATTAGTCAACATAAACCGCCCGGCAGGCGTGTACCAATGTTTTTCTTGGCTGACAGACGAATAACGACGATAATCAGCGACAATTCTGCAGGCGCGTTCAGTCGCGTTTCGGTCGCGAGTCGCGGCAGCATCCGTTGCGCGTCGCCGCTGCTATGATCTTGGCGGCGTCGCCGCTGTGATCTCCGCGGCGGCGTGCGCTCACCAGCCCGATCCGCCCCACTTCCCGCCCTTCCTCTTCAACCCCTTCCCCCCCTTTCCTTTCGTGCCCTCTCCTCCCGCTCGCGCACACACCTCCGTCTTCCCTCCCCCCTTCTCTTCTCCTCCTCCCATCGTGTGCTCCCACGGCGCCGCCTCTCCCCTCTGGTCCTGAGATCGCCTTGATCACTTAGGTTTACACAGAGCAGATTTTTCCGCTGTCGCCTCTCCCCTCTGGTCCTGATATCGCTTTGAGCACTTGGTCTTACACAGAGCGGATTTTCCCGCCGTCGCCTCTCTACTCTGGTCCTCACCCGTCCGGCCCGTGTCGCCCGCTGTCCCCCTTCCCCTCCCCCCCACCCCTGCTGTCCCCCTTCCCCTCCCCCCACCCCCGCCGTCTCTCTTCCCTCCCACATCCCGGCCCACGAATCTCCGTTGCCATGCAACCAAAACCCGAAACTCTTGGTTGTTGCTCGCTCTCTCCCATGCACCCAAAACCCGAAACCCTTTGTTGTTGCTCGCTCTCTCCCATGCACCCAAAACCCCAACCTCGATCTCCTCTTTCGAAGTGGCGGCGGGCAGCAGCAGGCAGGGAGCGAGAGTGCAGGTGAAGGATCGATTGTTTCTTCCTTTGCTCCTTCACCCTAAACCCTATGATCCAGAATGGGGGGAAGGCGGCGCCCAGAATGTATGGCAGCAAGGGGGCTGGCAGGGGGAGGGATTGGAGGTGGTTTGCAACCGTTTCTTACTTCTGCTCCCCCCCCTTCTGCTCCTCTCCTCCTCTCCCTTCTGTGCCCCCACCTGCTGTTCCTCCTCACCCTTCTCCCCTCCCCCATTTCTCCTCCTCCCCCTTCTCCTCCTCCCCATTCTTCTCCTCCCCCCTCTGCTCATCCGTCTTCTGCTCCTCCCCCCTCTGCTCCTTCTGCTCCGCCCCTCCCCCTCGTGCCCCTCCCCCTTCTGCTCCTCCCTCTCGTGCGCCTCAGAGTGGAGGGGGAGCGGGCCCCATCGCGAATGGCAACAGGGGGTGGCTGGTGTGGAGTGTGACCAGCAGGGAGAGAGAGTGCGGGCTTGTTGTTGTTGGAGTCGAAACAAAGTAAATTGTTCCTTTGATCCTCCTCCTTCCCTCTTCGGCGCCTCCCTCTCGTGCGCCTCAGAGTGGAGGGGGAGCGGGCCCTATCGCGAATGGCAGCAGGGGGTGGCTGGTGTCGAGTGTGACCGGCAGGGAGAGAGAGTGCGGGCGGGAGATTGTGAACGTGCTCGATGAGGTGAGGCACGAGCACACAGTGAGGGAGAGGAGGGGTGGGGGGGGTGGTAAGAGGTGATCAGGAGATCAGCTTGTGAGGTGACATGCACAGGGGATCAGCTTGATGAGGTGAGGTGGCAAGGAGGTGAGTGGGGCGCACAGGCAAACGATAGAACCTGGAGGGTAGGTAGATAGATGACTGGGCAAGCACTGGGGAAAGTGGTTGTGGAGGGCCTATCTGACTGAGCTGTTTTTGCTTTTCTTCCTTCCATCTCCCCTGCTTGCCCCACACGCCGTTGTGCGGCGGCAAGCTGGTGCCCGTGAAGGCGCGGGCTGAGGGGGAGGCAAGCACTGGGGAAGGTGGCTGGGGAGGGCTTATCTGACTGAGCTGATGTTGCTTTCTCCTCTGTTCGCCCCACACACAGTGGTGTGACAAGCTGGAGGCAGCAAGGCGCAGAGGAACGGGTAGGGTGAGGCAAGCACTGGGGAAGGTGGCTGGGGAGGGCTTTTCTAACTGAGCTGATGTTGTTCCTACTCCTTCCATCTCCACTGCTTGCCCCACACACCGTTGAGCGACAATCTGGTGCCCATGAAGGTGCGGGCTGAGGGGGAGGCAAGCACTGGGGAAGGCGGCTGGGGAGGGCTTATCTGACTGAGATGATGTTGCTTTATCCCTGTTTGCCCCACACACAGTGGTGTGACAAGCTGGAGGCTGGCAAGGCGCAGGGGGAGGGGGAGGGGGAGGCACGGACTGGGGAAGGTGCATCTGCAGGGAAGGCGAAGGGGGGTTCGTCCATCGATGCGCTGCTGGCGAATGAAGTGGCAGCACTCAAGAAACAGGTGCGTGCGTGTGGAGAGGGGGTTGAGGAAACAGGTGTGTGTGTTTTGCAGCGGCTCACAGGTGCGTGGGATGGGTAGGTGGGTGCCTTTTCCCTCCTTTCCCCTTGTTGTTCCTTCACCCTCCCCTTATCTCCCTCCCACTCCCTCCCCTCGTATCCCTCCCTCTCCCTGTGTCCCCCAGGCTCGATTGCAATCGTGACCTCAGGCTACCAGGTGCCCCTGTTTTGAGACGTCTCAGGCTACCAGGTGCCCCTGTTTTGAGACGTCTCAGGCTACCAGGTGCCCCTGTTTTGTTCCCCTTGTGCATCCTCGCCTCCTTGTTCCCTCCTTTCTCTTCTCCCTCCCTTCCTTGTGCATGCCCCTCAGCCTCGGTTCATGAGTGTGTAGTCTGGGTGCAAGGCGCTGCTGTTCGCATAAATGCCCAGCACAAACACCCATCACTTCCCTCTCTCGCAATCCTCTTTTCCCTCCCTCTTCCTCCCCTTGCCCCTCGTCTTGTCCCTCCCCTTGTCCTGAACGCTCTCACCTGGTGACTTTTGAGTCGACTCAAAAGTCACCTGACTGAACGCTCTCACCTGGTCTCACTTCGGGGTGTGGAGTCTCGCTGGCTGCAAGGCGCTGCTGTTTGGACTCTTGCTGGCTGCAAGACGCCGCTGTTTGCGAGAATGCTAAGTGGAAACCCTTATCGCTCCTCCTCTCTCTCCCATCGTCTTTCTCCCTCCCCTTGCCCCTACCGTTTGCCCTCCCCTCGCCCCTCCTGTTCGCCCGCCCCTTGACATCCCTCAGCCTCGGTTTGTGAGTGTGGAGTCTGGGTGCAAGGCACTGCTGTTTGAGAAAAAACGTTTTTTTTTTTTTCCTTTGTCCCTCGTCTTGTCCCTCCCCTTCCCTCTCAGCCTCGGTTTGTGAGTGTGGAGTCTAGGTGCAAGGCGCCGCTGTTTCTGAGGATCCATCATCACCCCTCCCTCTCCCTCTCACTCCCCTTTCTCTGCTCGTCTTTCTCCCTCCCCTTGCCCCTGCTGTTCGCCCTCCCCTCGACATCCCACAGCCTTGGTTCGCGAGTGTGGACTCTGGGTGCAAGGCGCTGCTGTTCGTGAGAATGCTCAGTGCAATTTCCAATCACGTCTCCTCTCCCTCCGCTCGTCTTTCTCCCTCCACTCGTCTTTCTCCCTCCCCTTGCCCCTACCATTCGCCCGCCCCTTGACGTCCCTCAGCCTCGGTTCGTGAGTGTGGAGTCTGGGTGCAAGGCACTGCTGTTCGTGAGGATTAGAGAGGATGCCAGGAAGGGGGGGAAGGGAGAGAAGGGAGGAAAGCAGTTGGAGGAGGGAGAGGAGAAGGAGGAGGAGGGTGAGAAGGAGGAGGTGGGGAAGACGGAGGAAGGGGAAAAGGAGGAGGAGAAGGGTGAAGGAGACAAGGAGGGGAAGGAGGGGGATAAGGCCGGGGAAAAGGAGCAGGAGAAAGAGCAGGAGGAAGAGGTTACAGGAGGAGGAGAGAAGGAACCGGAGAAGGAGGGACAGGGAGGGGAGGGGGAGAAAGGGGAGGCAGGGGGAGAGCAGGGAAGGGTGTCGCCGTGTGAGTTGGCAGAGGCGGTGCTGCGGCATGCCAAGGCCACCCAGCAGTCAGCCACTCGGTGGGTGTGGGGTAGTGGGTGTGGGGCAGTGGGTGTGGGGCAGTGGGTGTGGGGCAGTGGGTGTGGGGCAGTGGGTGTGGGGCAGTGGGTGTGGGGCAGTGGGTGTGGGGCAGTGGGTGTGGGGCAGTGGGTGTGAGGCAGTGGGTGTGGGGCAGTGGGTGTGGGGCAGTGGGTGTGGGGCAGTGGGAGTGAGGCAGTGGGTGTGGGGCAGTGGGTGTGGGGCAGTGGGTGTGGGGCAGTGGGTGTGGGGCAGTGGGTGTGGGGCAGTGGGTGTGAGGAAAGCACGTCTCATCACTTCACCCCCCTGCCCTTGTCACTTCACCCCCCTGCCCTTGTCACTTCACCCCCCTGCCCTTGTCACTTCACCCCCCTGCCCTTGTCACTTCACCCCCCTGCCCTTGTCACTTCACCCCCCTGCCCTTGTCACTTCACCCCCCTGCCCTTGTCACTTCACCCCCCTGCCCTTGTCACTTCACCCCCCTGTGCTGGTCACTTATCCTGCCTACCTGTAGTGAACTTGTGCCAGTTTTCTTCTTTCTCCCCCTCTTTGATTCAATTCTCACTCTCCCTTCAGTTTCTGTCACTCATTATCCCCTACGTTTGCACCTGCCCTGCCCACCCCTACATACACCACCCCTTACATACACTGCCCTGGCTCCCACTCTGGTCAACATCTTGACATACGTATTTCAGGAGGAGGGCCCCGGACCACCTGGATCATCTTGATCACATTCCTTGCAACGCTTCTGCTTTGCAGTGCCCAAGATACCCGAGTACTTCACTGTATGGCACTCCTTCTCACACTCTCCTTCTCACACCCTCCTTCTCTCACTCTCCTTCTCACACTCTCCTTCTGTGTGCAAATCAAAACAAGCAGCGCATATCGTCTCTCTCATCCCCCCTTGCTCTCCCTTCTGCTCTCCTCTCCCTTCCCCCCTTACTCCCCTCCCCCTCCTCAGGCGGCAAGGCGACAACATGAGCGTAATCGGAAAGGTGATGGCAGAAAGCTTGCTTGTGATTGGTTAATAAGCAGAAATGGGGTACAAGAGAGGGGAAGAAAACCCCCCTAAAATCCTGAAAAAACCCCCCCACAGCCCCCCCAAGGCCCCCCTAAGGCCCCCCTACCCCCCAATTCTCCTCACAGCCCCTCACAGCCCCCCTCGAACCGCCCTGGACATCCCTGGGCATGGCCCATGCATATCTGCTCCCTGTCATATCACATTCCTGCTTCTGCTTCTACTTTGTGCTTCCTATCTATCATATCCCTCCCGGGCATGGCATGGCATGGCATGGCATGGCATGGCATGGCATGGCATGGCATGGCATGGCCAACCAGGGAGGGGCGCACAGCACAGAGAGCCAGGAGCTCATCCACCACTCCCTCTTCTGTTCTGCTTCTGCTCCCCACTCCCCTCCCTTTTCCCTCGCCCCTCCCCCCTTTCTCTGCCCGCCTGCGTATATAATAACAAGCACATACATTCATATTCGCTAGGTCATCAAATCTATAAGTCATCTATCACTCTACGCGTCGTAGCAAATAGCCTCATGTTGTCGACAGGAGAAAATGGCACATGCGCTCCCTCCTTGTGCGTCTGTTTCTCTCTCTTCTTCTCCCTCATGTCATGCCCTGCGCATGGCTGAACACAAGCAGGTGGCAACGCATCTACTCCCTGTTTCCGTTTCTGCCACTCTTTCATATCCCAAACCTGGCCCAAACCAAACCTGCACTCCCCCCCTCCCCCTGCATATATACTAACAAGCACATACATTTATGTTCCTAACGTAATCAGATTCATCAATCCCTACCACTCTACACATTGCAAGCCAAGTGTCTTCGTCTTGGCGACAGGAGGGAAGCTGGCACCTGCGCAAGGGGAGGGGGGGAGTTGGGGTTGGGGAGAGGGGAAGCGGAGCAAGTGAGCGGGGGGAGCAGGGCAAGTGAGGGGATGGCAGGAGGTGTGAGGGCATGGTGGGATGGCAGGTGTGAGGGATATGGCAAGGTGTGCAGTGCATGCTCTGGGGCGACTCACAACGCACCTGATGCTGGTTTGGTGGGCCATGCGGCATGGCATGGCGCTGCGCTCCCTCCCCCTGCTTCTGTTTCTCTCCCTTGTTCTCTCTCATGTCCCGCGCATGGATGATGAGGGACGGCCACACAAGCAGCTGGCAACGCATCTGCTCCCTGTGCAAAGTATCTTCATCTTGGCGACAGGAGAAACTGGCACCTGCGCAAGGGGAGGGGAGGAGTTGGGGTGGGGGAGCAGAGCAAGTGAGCGGGGGGAGCAGGGCAAGTGAGCGGGGGGAGCACCCTAAACCCCCTTACCCCCTTACCTGGCAGGAAATGAAAGTCACCATGCAGGGAATGCAAATCCACCTGCCAGGGCATGAACAGGCACCATGCAGGGCATGAGAAGGCACCGTGCAACACGCGAAGGCACCTTGCAGGGCATGAGAAGGCACCTGGAAGAAGGGGGAAAGTGGGGAAAGAGGGGAGGGGGTGGGTGAGACAGGCTCAAATGGGCAGGCGCTGCACTGGCAGCTGGCAGAAAGGGGAGGGGAGAGGGTGGCTTGGACGTCTCACAGTTCCCCATGCCCCCTTACACCCCCCCCTTGAGCAAAGAATGCACACAGGAACAACAAACAAGCAAGCAAAACAAACTAAAACAAACAAACAAACAAACAAACAAACAAACAGGAAATTTTGGGATGGAAAGAGGGGACGGGGTGAGTGAGACCTCTTCAATCAACATGCACTGCACTGGCACCTGCTGGAAACGGGAGGACAGAGGGGAGGTGTTGAGTGTGACACCTCAAAACATTATGCCTTGCACTGGCACCTGCTGGAAAGGGGAGGAAAATGGCATCATGCAAGGAATGAGAAGGCATCATGCAGGGAACGGCAAGGCACCTTGAGGGAATGAGAAGGCACATGATTTTTATGTGCCCTAGTACATTGTTTTGCTTTTGTGTTCATACATTCATGCATCGTTCTGGTTCGCTCTTACCACGTGGGCGTGCGCGTCAGCCTGCCCCACCCCGTGCTCCACTGTTACGCCCCGCTGGCAACTGCTGAAACACGGGGAGGGAGGGAGGGAGGGAGGGAGGGAGGGAGGAGAGGGGAGGGGAGGGGAGATGAGGCATTGGTCAAATGACTCAAAACAGAGGGGAGAGAGGAGGGGATTGGTCAAATGACTCAAAACAAAGAGGAGAGAGGAGGGAATTGGTTAAATGACTCAAAACAAATAGGAGAGAGGAGGGGATTGGCCAAATTACTCAAAACTGAGGGGAGAGAGGAGGGGATTGGTCAAATGAGTCAAAACAAAGAGGAGAGAGGAGGGGATAGGTAAAATGACTCAAAACAAAGAGAGAGGAGGGGATTGGTCAAATTAATCAAAACAAATAGGAGAGAGGAGGGGATTGGTCAAATGACTCAAAACAAAGAGGAGAGAGGAGGGGATTGGTCAAATGGCTCAAAACCGAGGGGAGAGAAGAGGGGATTGGTCAAATGACTCAAAACAGTGGGGAGAGAGGAGGGGATTAGTCAAATGACTCAAAACAAATATGAGAGAGGAGGGGATTGGTCAAATGACTCAAAACAAAGAGGAGAGAGGAGGGGATTGGTCAAATTACTCAAAACTGAGGGGAGAGAGGAGGGGATTGGTCAAATGAGTCAAAACAAAGAGGAGAGAGGAGGGGATAGGTGAAATGACTCAAAACAAAGAGAGAGGAGGGGATTGGTCCAATGACTCAAAACAAATAGGAGAGAGGAGGGGATTGGTCAAATGACTCAAAACAAAGAGGAGAGAGGAGGGGATTGGTCAAATGGCTCAAAACCGAGGGGAGAGAAGAGGGGATTGGTGAAATGACTCAAAACAGAGGGGAGAGAGGAGGGGATTAGTCAAATGATTCAAAACAGAGGGGAGAGAGGAGGGGATTGGTCAAATGACTCAAAACAAAGAGGGGAGAGGAGGGGATTGGTCAAATGACTCAAAACAGAGAGGAGAGAGGAGGGGATTGGTCAAATGACTCAAAACAGGGGGAAGAGAGGAGGGGATTGGTCAAATGACTCAAACAAAGAGGAGAGAAGAGGGGATTGGTCAAATTGCTCAAAACAGAGGGGAAGAGAGGAGGGGATTGGTCAAATGACTCAAAACAAAGAGGAGAGAGGAGGGGATTGGTCAAATGACTCAAAACAGAGGGGAGAGAGGAGGGGATTGGTCAAATGACTCAAAACAAAGAGGAGAGAGGAAGGTATTGGTCAAATTACTCAAAACAAAGGGGAGAGAGGAGGGGATTGGTCAAATGGCTCAAAACAGAGGGGAGAGAAGAGGGGATTGGTCAAAAGACTCAGAACGGAGGGGAGATAGGAGGGGATTGGTCAAATGATTCAAAACAGAGGGGAGAGAGGAGGGGATTGGTCAAATGACTCAAAACAAAGAGGAGAGAGGAGGGGATTGGTGAAAAGACTCAAAACTGAGGGGAGAGAGGAGGGGATTGGTCAAATGAGTCAAAACAAAGAGGAGAGAGGAGGGGATAGGTGAAATGACTCAAAACAGAGAGAGAGGAGGGGATTGGTCAAATGACTCAAAACAGAGAGGAGAGAGGAGGGGATTGGTCAAATGACTCAAAACAAAGAGGAGAGAGGAGGGGATTGGTCAAATGACTCAAAACAGAGAGGAGAGAGGAGGGGATTGGTGAAATGACTCAAAACTGAGGGGAGAGAGGAGGGGATTGGTCAAATGACTCAAAACAAAGAGGAGAGAGAGGAGGGGATTGGTGAAATGACTCGAAACAAAGAGGAGAGAGGAGGGAATTGGTTAAATGACTCAAAACGAATAGGAGAGATGAGGGGATTGGTCAAATGACTCAAAACAGAGGGGAGAGAGTAGGGGATTGGTCAAATGACTCAAAACAGGGGGAAGAGAGGAGGGGATTGGTCAAATGACTCAAAACAAAGAGGAGAGAGGAGGGGATTGGTCAAATGACTCAAAACAGAGGGGAGAGAGTAGGGGATTGGTCAAATGACTCAAAACAGGGGGAAGAGAGGAGGGGATTGGTCAAATGACTCAAAACCAAAAGGAGAGAGGAGGGGATTGGTCAATGACTCAAAACAGAGGGGAGAGAGGAGGGGATTGGTCAAATGGCTCAAAACAAAGAGGAGAGAGGAGGGGATTGGTCAAATGACTCAAAAC